TTACTCTCACAATCCATAAACATTGAGCACACAGTATGCACTAATGTCAAATGTTCATCATGGCTTATTGTGGAAACCTCTTCAACCCACTCCCCATCATCCTGCAAAGCTTCCTGACATCAGTTTACGCTCCTTTCCTTCTACCTGTCTTCTTTTTGACATCCCTTCATTTTTCCTTTCTTATAACAATATTTTATCCTTCTTCTAGCTTCCCCTTCCCCCCCCCCCCAAGAATGATGCAGTTAAAAATAAGTTTGCCAACCCCGAATAAAAAACTTTAAAATTCTGTCTTGGGATTGCATTAGACAATATTCTAAATATGTTGTAACGTTAACTTATTTAATGCTCAATAATACTCTGAATGAGAACCATGATATCCCTACTTTGCAGATGGAAAATAAAATAGGCAGGTAAATTAAGCACCCTGTCCAAGGTCACATAGCTAGTAAATGACAGAGTTAGGACTTGAACTCAAGTAAATAAAAGTTTAAAGCCCAGGACCTAGTCCCAGTATAAAATGTTACCTTCTTGATGTGAAAGTCTACCAGGAGTGTGGACTTAATATAGTAAATGCATGTACTGAAAGAAAATGTGATATTACATGAAGATAAAACAATTCATGTTATTAATAAATTCTTTTAGATATGAATATATAAAAATTTACCCACAGAAATAACAGAATATTGAACAGTTAGGTAATGATGAGGAATTATTCTCATGGTTCACATGGCTTCCCCTCATGTAACCTTGATTGTCAGAGCCAATGTATAATAATACAACATTTCATAATAACATAGCCGCTAACTAACGGATGAAGACAGCATAGTTTAATTTAAATGAAAGTTGGTTTTGAAATACCTTAAGAAGGGGAAGATTGGCATTTGACTGTTTTCTAATGTAAATACTGCCCAACCTGATGTTAGAAAGTCCTTGGAATCAGTCCTATTAAGTAAAATTTCCAAAAGGACATATATCTTGGTTGAGAATAACAAACATTCTTTGAATTTCAAACCTGCAGGTGTTAAGATGAATATTTTGTTCTGGGGTAACTGGCCTGAATTTCCACCACGATGACTAGAGACTCCATCTTTATAAAGGGGTCAGTAAGAAGTTCTTAGCATCTCTTCACACAGCCAGTTTGCATTTGTCTTGCATCTTCACAAATACTTTTTGAAACATGCTGCAGAACAAGAAAAAAAATATGATTTGTGTTGGACATTTCAAAATTCCATTATCCTGGTCAGAACATTGGGTCACATTGACCACCAAAAACCTCAATGCTGCTGTGTAAAATATTATGTACATGTATTATTCCAGTTTCAAAGATCTCTTTCATCATTCAAGTCATGAAAGGTAATGCTCAGAAATATGCAAACCACAACCCAGGAATGGCATTATATTGAACTGACATGGAATCCAGTATATTACATGAGAATTGGAAGGATATAATACAATGTGAGCAACAGAGTAATCATGCTATTGCCCTAATGGAAGGAGTTCATTTATCTTCATTCCACTGTTACATCTAAATGTGATTTAGCACTTCTCTGACTCAACTTTTCTTTGCATCTAAACATGAAAATCTTGATTCTTCCTATTTCACATTGAATCTTTCAGAAGTAATCTAATTGATGTAAGTTAGTCATTATTATCTCTGATGGGTTGAAGATTTAGGGCTTTAAACAACCAATGGGAAACATACACATTGAGTATCCTCTGGTCAGGTGCCCACCCATATGGCAGAAACCTGCTGGAGAAGGAAGCAATCATAGCAGAATATCTCAGGGACCTTGCCTTCCTATGGAGAGTAAGCATAGGAACAGCTGCTATAGTCTTAGGAGGTGCCATGTTTACCTTGTCTAACACTGCGACTATAATGAATAGAGAGAGCCTTGAGGTTGTTGCAGAAAACCAAAGAAAACTAAGCAACACTTCAAAGAAGAGGAGGGACACTGTTTAATACACTGGCGGACTCAAAGAACAGCCTTCCAAATCTAAGTGAAGGAACATGCATGGGGATTTCCTTTATATCTCCCTTTCCTTTATATGTCCCCCAAATATGGATTATACTCCTTTTTGCAGGCCTTTCAAGTAGGCCCCAAGGTGTTGGGGTTCTTCAGACCATATCTGATGCCAATGCACTGTCCACAGCCCCATGGCCTCTATAACCAGTTCTGCAAGCCCAGTATTTGGGAAGAAGGCAGTGACTTAATTATAGGTTATCAATAATGTACACTGAGCTTGCTGGCATGGATTCAGATCACTGGCCTCCAAATATCAGGGTTAAATTGGAATTAGCCCTTTTTAGCCTTCTCAAGGAGGGCTTAACAGAATCAATTCATCGCACAGTGCATTTCAGCAGTTAGACTTATTCACGTAACTTGCCTGCCTTAACCCTCTTGGCTTAAAAATTCAGCTTGAGGACAGATAACTATCTTTCTTTAGACACAGAGTGAAACTTTCTAATTATATGGATGTGGCACTTGTTTAGCTCAATGCACTGGACACTTGGGATGTTGACTTCTCAAACCACAGCATTTTTTCAGATTGGAAGACCCCTTAGAGAAGCCTAACAATTTTTATAAGCATTTAAACAAGTACTTTCCTTTCCTGGTTTCCTTTCCTGGTGTTCTCATATAACGCAAACCTTGGTAAACCCTTGGACCTTGACCGTTCTTACCATGATAAATCAGCATTGTGTATTCCTATTTGTATAACTTTACTTCAGTTAAACACTATCACTGTTTTCTTTATTATTTAACCCTTGACTCACACTTTTATAATTTAAATTAAATTTTTCACAGTTATCTCCTAACTGTAAAATAGCCTTTTACCGATTAGACTTATCTCGTGGCTTTCATTATTATTATTTGATCCCTAAGACTCTAATCATTTGTTGGTAGGACAACATAAACTTGATCAGCTATCAATATGGGACGGTATGCTTTGTTGATGTTATTCATGCTTCAATATTAAGAAATAAGAAATAAGAAATAATACTATATAGCTTATACGTTTAATTTTGCTTTACTCTAGTTATCTTTTACCTAACCAGTGAGGCATTCCTGATTGTGAATTTATCAGAATTATTTTTCTCAATCAGGTAGGGAATTAGAGATATTGCTGCATTGCAAACAACCCCCAAATCTCACAGATAACAACACAAAGGTCATTCATTGCATGTGCAACACTTCTGTTAGGTTTAGGAAGGGATCTTTGCTTGTGCTGTTGTTCAGGGATCATTGTTGATAGAGGGTTAACTTTGATACTTGCTTGCAAATCTTACAGAAAGTGAAATGAAAGCATGGCAAGTTCCGAATGGCTGTTCACCATTTGACAGAAGCACTATTCATCATTCTTGCTCATATTTCACCAGTCAAGCAGGATATATGGCCAGGAGTGTGGCTGGAGAGAAGCGAAGAGCAATTATTCCCTCCAAGATGGGAAGTCAACATATAGAAACAAAAATGCAACCTTCAGAGGCAACCATAGGTCTACCCTTCTTCTCTCAAATGTTCTATTTTCTCTCTTTTACACTTGAAAAACACAGTCTCTCCTCCTCACTCCCCTCCACCTCTCAAGAGAAACCCCATTCAGTTATAGCCCCAGTCTCATAATGGCCTTATGACATCTCTGCAGCAGGGCCTTATCTGGAAAATCAACACATAAATTTGTCAACTTATTTGTTCCCTGGTCACATATCACTGACTACCTCACACACACAGTATGCACTGGCAGAAGAGCGTCATTGTAACTATAATCATCACTCCCATTAAGCACGAGAAACAGAGGATTTCATACAAGAGTAACTAGCCCAGGACAATTCTAAAATCCTGCTAATCAGACTTGTTGAGGATTCCCTTTTCAGCCCATCAGTAGAAATCTTAATAGTGCCAAGTAAACATTACAACAGAAGCCAATGCTTGACTAGTGCAAAAATCAATAGCACACGATAGGTTATAAGTCAAAGCAAACCAATTTTCTTGGATTTGTGTCTAAATTAATTGATAAATTACATAAGTGAGCTGGCCTAGAGGATGTTTAATCCTCTTCTGAGCCTTCCCTCGCCCTTTTTTTCAGAGCACTTACTTTCGCTAGACTATTTTCTGTAAATCTTGTTACTTGTTGTTTTGATCTTCAACCCTGGCTCTTGTTTCTTTTTGCCTAAATGGCAGCTTTGTTTTCTTCCTTGCTCTGTGGATCTCCAGGGGCTGCTTTCCCTCAGACAGGGTCTTCCCCCCTGAGCCTGAACTTGACGCTGTTTTCGCCTTTGCTCTTTCGTAGTCATTCCATAGAGGTGCCACTGGTTCACATTCTTGTTTATTGAAGATTTTTTTCATTCATCTCGGACCCTCACAGTTGCAGGTCTCCACTGGCTGCCCTTTTTAGCAACTAAAAACTGCCTTCTTTGATTGTCCTGCTCCAGTTTTGATGTATGCATCTTCTGAGTTTTGTTTCGCTGAGTGTTTCCTGCCTCCCTAATGTGTGTTATGTTTCTTGACAAATGATGGTGGCTGATTGGCTGGAGATGGTATTCTGTGGGTGTGAAGAAATACAGCTGGAAAGGCTTGTCTCTGTTTGCATTAGGCATCCTTGAATTGGAAAAACTAGCCTTGATCCCCTAGGAAATCTGAGACATTGACTGTTTAAAGCAGCTCTGCGAAGATTAAAGGCACGATTATTGCAGCATGCAACCTTGAAAAGTGCAGAGGCCTGAGCATCTTGTCATTGATGCTACCCCTCTTCCCTTTATAGACTGTTAATGTAAAAACATAATAATAATAATAACAAAAAAAACACAAAAAACAAAAACAAAAACAAAAAAACATTATGTAAAACAATTCTGTAAAGAATTTTTGTGAGTTTATTTGAGCCAAACTGTCCACATATGAGGGGAAGCAGAACTTCAATGAATTGAGGTAGTGCTCCGGAGAATGGCGGGTTACATTTGTTTTTATACATTGCCATCAAAAGAAGGACATAGGTGGGTTACATGAAATTCATTGGTGATGGGTTAAGGAGGTGAGATAAAGCAAAGCCTTGGGAACCCCCTGGGATTGGATGAAAAGTAAAATGATGGACACATACTTAGGTGGGTACAGGAACAATTAACATGATAATGAAGGAATTTGAGGCATCTGTCTTGGCACCCACCACATCTGGTTGGGCCCCAGGAGCTCCAGAAAAAGGGAAGTTACAAGTTACCCAGACATGTCACAGATTTGTTATCTTAGAGGCAAAAAGGCAAATGGGCTCAGTAAAGATCTAAGTTGATCTTTGTCAGGGAAAATATCAGCCTGGGACATGACTGCCCACTATAACCTGTGTGTAGTTAAGTATTTAATTTTCAGATCATCCTTTGTGGTTACTTTAGGTCTCTGAGATTTCAAGACTGCCACGCAGACCTCCCCTGAGCTTGTCAGGTTAGCATGTAGCCCCTTTTGTCCACAACACATACCTTTACTTTCATCTAAGTGGGTCTTAAGCTATAAAAATATAACTAACTCTCCCACATGCATTGTGTTCTGCAGCCTGGGAACTCACAGATACTTCCTTAGAATTGCTTTTTGGCTGCAGAATAAAACAGCTTTTAAAAAACTGTTCACCTATGAGGCCTCCTGCATCTGCCCTCCTGATCACGTTGGTCTGTTAGATACGTCTCAGTTACTACACAATTCCTTTGACACGGTTGCTTCTATGAATGGGGAACCCAGTGTGGTTATTTGAAATCTGGACTTGAAATATTTGTATCTTCCCTCTTATTCTGTAAATTCAAGTAGAATTCACCAGGAGAAACCAGGTGTAAAGAGGTGAAAGCAAGGCACCAGTTGTCATTCATTTTCTCGACTCCTTTAATTATTCATTTAAGTATTAATACTTAGATCTGGAATACTTATCTAAAAGCAGCAGCCAATGTATCATCTACGTATATGTCCCTCCCCTTTGTTCCTGGCTTGGATCTCTTTCTTTTTCATTCTCATTAACAATGAGAAGATTTCAAGGAAATTAAAAGCCATTTCCTCTTAAGGAGATGTTGAAGGTACATGCTACAGGCTTGTGGATTATTTTCCAGATCAGAATCATATGGAGAGGCCAATATTTTAGGAGTCTCAGATTCATCCAGCCTAAGTCAGCAATTCCACTGAGACTTGACCACGATTTGTATGTGAATATTCTCCTTTCAGCTTCTGTCTGGTATGTTTAAAGCCCAAGTTGCATGAAAATAGAGGGTTATGAAGCCACCTCTATTAAATAGAAAGTATAAAGTTTTTTTAATTGCTCTTTAGGCACAGTTTATTAATGCTCTAATGACACTAAAGAGTATTAAATGCAAATTTGCAAAGCTCTAAAGAGCTTTATTAAGATAAGCAACATTTTATTGAGTCAATTCAGTAGCTATTTTAATGAAAATCTGGCTAAATGAATCTCAGTAGAAGCCATCACAGATGTCCTATCATGTATTTTGAGGAATAAGCAACTAAATTTGGCAGAATGATAATAAAGAGAAACCTGAAAGGGAAAGGAGACAGTTGGAAGTGGTGAAGAATAAGGCTATAATCTAGACCGTAGAACGATTTATTCTATTTCATTTACTGAAATTACAACTAGGTATTATAGAAACCAATTACCTATCTTTTGATAGTAAATGACATCTCCTTTTCTAAATAAAATAATGGCATTTATTATCTTTTCTAATCGAAGAAAAGTATGTATATGAGTGTTTGTGTAAATTTGAAAGTCAAAAGAGAAAGGAAGAACAGAAAGATGAAAAAGAAGCAAAGCAGGATTTTAAAAGAGAAAAATCAGAAAGGAAATAAGGAAAGGAGTCAGGGAGGGAGTAGTGGAGGAAGGAATGAAGGAAGGGAGGAAGGAAGAAAGGAAGGGGTAAAATAAGAAGATGGTTTTATGAATGGTGGTACTGACATGTCCTCCTTCGATTAACTGCATTTTGATGGACTTCTTTCTAATTGTGGAGGATTGACCTCCCTTTGAAAAACCTTAACTTTAAATGAGCCACAATTAGCAAACACTGACTTCCTCATCACATTGACTAAGCTCCTCTCTAACATTTTTCAGTCTAGAAAACATTTCCGTTAGCCCACTCCATCATTTAAATCTTTCTATCTTTTGCTTTAATAGAATCGAACTCAATTTATCTCCATTTCAAATCTTAACTTCTTTTGCAATTATGTTGAATAAAGTTTTTCTTGCCTTTTTTCTAATGGTTCTGGTACATTAATAGAATAATCACTAGTGTGCCCAGCAAGATCCATAGATTCCTTGAAATCTGCAACTGAGCCATCTTTTATTCTAGAATAAATCACTAAATATTTCTGGATAGCAGCTTTCTCATCTTTCCATTGAAGTTGACAGTCTATAAGTGTGTCTCAACAGGTATACTATTAGCAGAGTTTTTTGGTTTATTTATTTATATTTAAAATATATTTTTATTGATTTCAGAGAGGAAAGGAGAGTGAAAGAGAGATTTAAAAAACAAACAAACAAACAAAAACCAACTATGATGATCAGCTGCCTCCTGCCTGCCCCCAATTAGGGACCGAGCCTGCAATTTAGGCATATGCCCCTGACCAGAATCAAACCTGCTGATGCTCTATCCACTGAACCAAACTGGCTAGGGCAGCATTTTGAATGAAACAGTTGGTCATTACTTGGTTTGGACACCACATATTGTACAAAGATCAGTATTCCTGGTCTTTTTCCACCAAATGCTAATAGTGCCCTAGGGATTATGATACTAAGAAATCCATCACCTTGCTGCTTGAAAGGTGGCTCTCAAACCAGAAATATAATTCCCATGGAACTTGTTAAAAATGCAAAAATCTCAGTCCTCACCTCAAGCTTGCTGAATCAGAATATCTATTTTAACAATTTCCTCAGACATTTCATATGCAAGTTAGAGTTTAAGAAGCATGCCTCTAGTATCCATTTTCAAAAGATGGCAGATTGTGTGTGTGTATTTAGGGATAGAAGTGCTGTTATCAGACTGAGAAATACCAGATGCTAGATGCTTCTAAGGTTTCTTCCAGTTTCAATTTAGTTATTTTTTAATTTCTTTTCAGAATTTTTATAGTTTTTTTATCTAGAAGTTCTGCATAGTATTGTTATAGTTATTTTGCATATTACCGTTTTTTCAGGAGTATAAGACTACTTTTGAAACGAAAAAAAAGTCAACCAAAAATCGGGGGTTGTCTTATATGCCAAGTATATCCCGAAAAACGTCTGGATATGCCACTAAACGAATTTTCCAACTCGATCCCCCACCAATCACTGCAAGGCTGCTCGGACTGCCTCTCTAACTCAGCCAATCCAAGCAGGCTTTTTATGCATGCAAATTATACATGTTCTGTACCCGAAGCTACACTGTGTTCTAGTAAAAAGCCTGCTCAGACTGGCCAGAGTCAGAGAGGCGGTCTATTAAAAAAGAACTGGTGTTGCCTCAGTAGTGGGGGGTGGTCTTATACAGCGAATATAGGCCTAAACCTATGTTTTAACTGTAAAATTAGGGGGTCGTCTTATACGCCGGAAAATACGGTATTGTATTTTTAAAATAGTATTTGTAACTTTACTGCTAGTTTATACAAGTTTGTTTTGCATGTGAATTACTTTACCAACTGATTTATTGGTTCTAATAACATGCTTGACAATTATTTAAACTCTGTATTTTCTAAGAATGATATTTTTATTACTTCTTTCAGATATGTATATCTCTGTATAAATATATTTTTCCAGGGCAATTTTGAAGAGATCATAACAGAAATCCTTATTTCAATTTTATTTTCCTGGTGTATTTTTTTTTTTTTTTTTTGCCATTAAGTGATTTTATAAAGTTAAGTAAAAGTGCCTTTTATTAAATCAAGGAATTTGCCTTAAATTTCTAGTTTGCTAAGTGTTTATTACCATCATTTTTTATAAATGTTCAAGTATATGCTTTCTGCACTCATTGAGATTAATATAAAATTTGTCTTTTATTTCTAGTTTATGAATTAAATGGATTCATTCTCAAGTATTACTTATGATATTTTCAGCTAGGATTATTGTTTTGTTTTATTTTCTTTAATGTAAAGTTTACTTTGAAACCTTTTCTTTTGCTTTATATTTTGGAAGTGTTCTCCACTCTGATACTATAATAATTTCCCTGTGCTTTCTTCTTAGATTTTAAAGATCTTTTTTCCCCTCATGAAATTTAAATCCTTTGTCAATCTGAAATTATTATGGGACAAAATTAAAATACAATAAGAATTTTATATGATTTTCTAATTATTCTAATACCATTGAATGTATAAGTCAGCTTTTTCTTGCCTATTTGAAATGGATGGGATGTCTTTGTTTTCAATAGCTTTTTCTCATATAGTTATCTATGATTTTGTCTGTTAAGGTAGCAGTACATATTTACAATTTCTTCCCTTGTAGCCATCAAAACACATGCTCAAAACACACACATACACAAAAAACAAACAAACAAACAAAAAACAACAACAAAATGAGTGGATAAAAAAGCTGTGATCCATTTACACAGTGGAATACTACTCTGCCTAAAAGGAAAACAAAACTAAACAAACAAACAAACAACACATTTTACCCCCAGTGACAGCATGAATAGACCTGGAGAACATTATGCTAAGTGAAATAAGTCAGTCAAAGAAAGACAAGTACCATATGATTTCACTCATGTGGAGTTTAATGAACAAACTGAATTAATTACCAAGCAAAATAGAGGCAGACTTATAGATAGAGAGCAAGCAGAGAACTCTGGTGGGTGTGTGTATAGAAAAAAGAAGAAGAAAAAAAAGATGGAGAAGAAAAGCTGAGGTTTAGAGTCAGACCAGCTCCCAGGTGTTTCACTGGTGACTTCATAACCTTGGATTATGTAATCTTGGATTATGTTACTTTGGATTACAGCAGTTTTAGAACTATATATATATATATATATATATATATATATATATATATATAATGTTAGATGTCATAAAGAAACATGTATAATTAACATTTGGTATATATAGATATATACCAAATGTTAATTATACATGTTTCTTTATTGGCTCATTACACCAGAAAAATTTTCATGTGTCCTTACAACTAAGAAAATACATTAATATTAAGAAGACATTATTGATTTATTGTGAATTGGTGCTTAGTTTTTACAGAAGTGTTATTACACTTGTGCTTACATTGCTGTGAAAGATACATATTCTAGGGAGTTTAAAAGGGAAGGGTTGAAGCTAATTATTCCTTTTACTTCTGTGCTTTTTACCTGGGCAGTTCCATTTGGAAGGGATACTTTATTGAGGTGCCGGATGTATTTGTAGATGAATTTACATTCACAAGTTTCATATTAGGTCATGAACCCAAAGAGATGTGCTTGAGTCCAAATCCAAGAAACTATATATTTTTTCTATTTGTATTTGCCATGGTAGGGATATAAGCACTGAAGATGGAAACAGTTTGTGTTGCTCTTAAAGTAAATTCAGAGCCATCAGCCTGGACCTGTTTGGCTCAGTGGATAGAGAGGAGGCCTGTGGACTGAAAGGTCCCGGGTTCAATTCCGGGCAAGGGCTTGTACCTTGGTTGCTGGCACATCCCCAGTAGGGGGTGTACAAGAGGCAGCTGATTGATGATTCTCTCTCATTGATGTTTCTAACTCTCTATCCCTCTCTCTTCCTCTCTGTGAAAAATCAATAAAATATATTTTTTTAAAAAAATTCAGAGCCATCAGATTACAGCTGATGTAACTTAGATGTTTGGAGTAGGGGATTTCCTGATAGCAAAATCAAGTATGTGTCACTTCCAAATAGAAAGCTTCTCTCAGGGGGATGACCTGCATCAGGAAATTTCTTTTTCAATGTGGTGATGCTGACACCTAATTTAATTCTTTTTTTCAGAAGGTTTTAAAAAATATATATTTTATTGATTTTTTTTCAGAGAGGAAGGGAGAGAGATAGTTAGAAACATTGATCAGCTGCCTCCTGCACATCCCCCACTGGGATGTGCCCACAACCAAAGTACAAGCCTTTGACTAGAATCGAACCTGGGACCCCTCAGTCTGCAGGCTGACTCTCTATCCACTGAGCCAAACCGGTTTTGGCTTTCAGAAGGTTTTTGATTGGAGATGTCTCTGATTTTGTACTTGCCCTTAGCTGGGCGTGGGAGGTGGGGAAGGAGACACCCTTCCTTTCTGCACCCATTATATCTAGTCTAGGTTAATGTCTTCAACACTGTGATGCAATGCTTCGGTTTCTACTCATTAATAAATAATAAGTTATGGACACCCTATTAAGCACCTTGACACTTTATTAATTGGTACTCCACATGGTGAAGTAAGTGTTAACCTCCCAAGTTTATAGAAAAGAATACCTGAGATGTATAGATTTATATAATATAAATAACTTATCCCAAGTCACACAGTTCACGGAGGTTAAAACTGGCTAGATAACCTAGCTCTGTAGTTCATTTCCCGAATCACTATGTCAGAAGGTCAAATTACAGGAGCCCCTGTGTGTTACTTACACTTTGTTATCTCTAGAACTTTTTTGTGGTTTGTTCTTAGTGTCTCCAGAGCATTAAGCTGGTGTCTAAATATTTGCTGAAATCAATTTGCAGCAGAAAGAAATTCCCAAGCCCTCCCTGAGAAAGGGTGAGGATTTACATGTTAGATGTTGATTTCTCAAAGAAAAGGGACCACTGAAAGAGCAGCTGCTTTTTTCAAAACTCTGCACTAACGCCTTTCTTTGGAGCATGGCCTCTCACTTCTTCACTCATTTTGAACAGGTGGTAAAGACGTAGTCATGAGGCTGCAGAGATAATAACTCTGTTTTTGTTATTATTATTTTTTTTTAATGCTCACCTGAGGATATTTTCCCATTGCTTTTCAGAGAGAGTGGGAGAGGGAAAGACAGAGAGAAACATGGATGTGAGAGAAACGCATGGATTGGCAGCCTCCTGCACGTGACCCAATCAGAGCCAGACTCAGGGAGGAACCTGCAACCAACGTACATGCCATTGACCTGAATCGAACCTGGGACCCCTCAGTGTGCAATCGGATACTCCCTCCACTGAGCCCAACTTGCCAGGGTCTCTGTTAAATGTTAAGTAAAACTGTACACCTTTTGCAAATATCAAATTATTTGGTTACTCTTGTGCAGAAGTCATTAGACTTGTTACAGTTTGTCTACTGCATATTTGGTTCAGATATTCATTTTCCTTCCCTTTGAAATATGCTATGAAAACCAACTGCTATGACAGCCACAACTGGGTAAGAGAATCAACCCATAAAATGGAATAATCATGTGCCTCGATATAGGATGTGTAGCTTCAAAGAAATTTCTAACTTCTTGAATTTGATGTGAACAGCTTTATATTTTGTCAGTTTTTAAGAGTCATCTGAGGAAATGCCTTTAGCCCTATCGGATATTCGTCCTCATTACCCATGGCCATTCTTCTAGAACTATATACTCTTTTTCACAAAGTTATTAGGAAAAACCCTTATGCACTGCTTCCTTTGGAACCATATGTTCTCAGTACACTTATCTTTATCATTTAAAAGGCAGAAAAAAGATTACAATAAAATTTTAAGTCTATCACAGACCATTTTAGATAATCTCCCTCGTCACCCTTTTTAGAATTTGTTTCAGTAACTGGCTCTCCCTCCAAATCACCACAGCTATTTCCAACCTTCTGAATTCTCTTTAAATTTCAAATATTTTCTTCTCCCACCTTATTCATACTGATTTCAATTCTGGTCAAGAGCACATGCCCGGGTTGCAAGCTCGATCCCCAGTAGGGGGCGTACAGGAGGTAGCCGATCAATGATTCTTTCTCATCTTTGATGTTTCTATGCCTCTCTTCTTTTCCCTTCCTCTCTGAAATCAATGAAAATATATTTTTAAAACGTGTTGATTTGACATAAGATGATGGGTACATAATGCGATATGCAGATGATATATTACAATATATCATAGACTTGTACATATGAAACCTATATAATTTTGTTAAGCAGTCACTCCAACAAATTTAAATAAAAATAAATAAGTAAAATGCAGCAAGGAAAAATGTAATAAATAAATTAAGAAATTATTTCCCATACGTGACAGGTTCTATTTCTAAGTCCCTCCCCTTACTGACAGAGATAGGATTTTCAAGTTAAAGAGCCCGTTCTCACTGTTCCCACTTCCTCATTTGCCAGTCAGAAATCAGGTTCTGCGTAATTACAGTTAAAAGAGGCTTTATAATTTAAAATACAATAGGTTTAGTTCATATATAAATTCTAAAAGAAATAAGAACATAGGTAAATTGAATCACAAAGTTAAAAAGCTTTAGTAATTCATCAGTATTAACCTACTGACCACAAAGTCAATAGGCAATAAATGACTGTTTTTTGAAAGCTTGTAGAAAAACTGAAAAAAGAAAATCATATAAAATTTTTATAAATAAATTTTACGAAAGTGAAGAATGGTTGGTAAACAAGTTAGGAATCATATCACTGTGTGGAGCAAAACAGATCCAGTACTAAAAAGATAGAAATGAAAATAAGGCAAAATATCAGGAAATAAAATGCAAGTCACTGCTAGTTTTACAAAATCACAAACCGATTACATTATTCATTATCCTCTCACAGCTCAAATTTTAAAAATCATTAAATGTTCTTGCAGGAAGACATGTGTTCTAGAATACTGATGAGCTTGAATATTATTTTAGGAGTTGGAAGTGGGATGAATAAAAGTTCAAATGATGTGAACATGAGGAAGGAACAAAGCAGGGGAGATTTTGGAATTCATGGATGACATGGGTGTTGCACCAACAGGTCATAGAGGTAGAATGTTGCCTTATTGGTCATGCTACATGACCTCATGGTGGAGGCAATCTCATTTCTAATTACCACAAGTGATATTCATTCGTTTTGGAATTCTAGTAATTAAATTTTCAGCAATTTTCCAGTGGGGCCTCAGAGACCTTCCTGTGCCTATAACATTCTTCTAAATTTCAGCCCAAGTCACAAGGAAGGGGCTGATTTATTTTGCCAATAAAATTGACTGAGTGCCTTAGCATGTCAGTCCTGGTATTGTATCTAGGGATGTACTGGTGAAAAAAATATAGAGCTATTGGTCCTTTTTCATACAACATTCAGATTAGCAGCAGAGGTATATATTATTCAAAGAGTTATAGAAACATCTAAAAGTATACCCTTGGTAGAGCATCAGTCTGTGGACTGAAAGGTCCCAGGTTCGATTCCGGTCAAGGGCATGTACCTTGGTTGTGGGTACATCCCCGGTAGGGGGTGTGCAAGAGGCAACTGGTCGATGTTTCTCTTTCATTGACGTTTCTAGCTCTCTATCTCTCTCCTTTCCTCTCTGTAAAAAAATCAATAAAATATATCTAAAAAAAAAAGTATACCCTTGGTAAGTTCTACAAAGGAAAAGTATGTGGTACATTGAAATCTACTAACAGAACGAGGAATCTGAGTTCTGGGAGTCAATGTCAGAAGATGAGACATTGGAGTTGAATTCAGAAAAAAACAGTATGAATTAATTAGGGTATGAGTCAGGGTCCAATGAGGAAATAAAAACTACGTAGTCAGAAGTTAACATAAAGAAGTGTCAACAATCACAGGGGTTTGGAGTGATGAGAGGTTGGCTAGGAAGAAGTAAACATAACTCTAAATGCAAAGGAATATATGATGCTGGAGGCCCAGGGAATGAAATTTGTGCACAGGTAGGGTCCATAAGTCTGTTGGTGATCAGGGTCAATCTGTGGGGCAACCAGTGGGGCAATCAGCACCCACCCTGGTGTCTGCTTTGGCCAACCTGGTGCTGCCAGCTTGCTGGCCTTGCCTCCTGCTGCTGCTGCCTCTGGTGGCCTCCCTCTGCAGGGCAACCAGTGGGGAGATGCAGGGGGGCAGGGAGAGGAGGGCATCTGGTCTGGGCCCTGCGGGGTGGGGTCAGCTCCTGCATTGAGTGTCTGCCCCCTGATGGTCAGTGCCTGTCATAACAACAGATGGTCTGTTGTTCCACCTTTGGTCAATTTGCATATTAGGATTTTATTATATAGGATAATGTACAGCCACTACCCTTAGGATAGAATACCCAAGTAAGGACCTCATCTCTCTACCATCACTGAGAGCCAAACCTTGCTAGAGAGTGTACAACTCTAGCTGGATGGCAGAGAAGTAGTTGAGGGGTCACTCTAAAGAACTTGCCAGAACTCTACCTTGTAGAGTGGCAAGAGTTGCTGTTTATGAAAGGAGCCTCACTGGAGGCACTCCTATACTGTCCCCATGCTACTGACTTCTGTGCACTGCAGAGCCGCATGGAGAGAAATTGCGTTTCCTGAAGGTACCTGGTATTCAAGAAGCCATTCCCGCTGAAGGAGCTGGGCATTGGAAACCTGCTAAAAAGAGTCCCTTGAAAGAGCAATGAAAGCTCTTTCTTTCTGAAAAATCTCTTCACCAGCATTATGCCAGCTGGCTTAGGACAAATGGTCAGTCATCTCAGCTGTATTCCCATGTAGGCAAAATGTCATTTGCCAATGTGATTTGACAGTGAAGACTATGATTAGTATGCAAAAACACCATCAGCATTCAATAAACACTGAGGTATATCTTCACATACATGTACGGATAGTGATGGCAAAATTCTATTAAAAGTTATTTCTGTTAAAAGTTAAGGGTGAGCCTTCATGCAAATCATTAATTTTCTAAAGCTGTATTTAGTGCAACTTTTCTTAATCACAGACTTTTTTCCTAAATCTTGTTATTTTCTGGATTCCTAATGACCTGAGGGAATTACGCCAAAAGAACAAAATAAACACAATTTTCCATGAATTTCTGGCTTGTAGAATTTTGGACAGCATTCAGAATACACTTTCAATAGATTTTATGTCATAGATGAGAGACATATGAAGATACTAATCCTTGTATATGGGATTTTTTAGGGAAGTCAAAAAGGAGGGAGGAATTTTCTGTGTCTCAGTAACAAATTTTAATTTAATTTAATTTTTTATTGGTTTTAGAGAGAGAGGAAGGGAAAGGGATAGAGAGATAGAAACATCTACCTATTGGCTGCCTCCAGCATACCCTCTACTGGGGATCCAGCTTGTAATCCAGGTATGTGCCCTGACTGAGAATTGATCCTATGACCTCTTAGTTCATGGGTTGATGATCAACCACTCAGCAACCCTGGCGAGGCTCAGTAACTAATTTTAATGCCAACTACTTTTCTACTACAGCAGTATAGGCTGCCAATTTAATTGACTTAGAGTCGCTCTTTTCCTTTCCTGATTTGATGAAAGGTAAACTCATAATTAAGAGAAAATAGAGAACTATCTATAATAATAGAAGCATAATATGCTAATTAGTCTGGGCATCCTTCCAGAAGTTTTTCAACAGTGGATGTGGGCTGAGACAGCCTCCATAGCAGTGGGCGCTGAGACCCTTGCACAGATTTTGTATGTGTTGGGCCTCTAGTTTTTAAGAATGGCAGAAAACTACACCTGAATATCCAGTTTAATCTAGATTATGTATTAACTTTTTAAAAAATTTAAATGGCAGATCATTCTAAGTAACCGTTTTCTGTTAAAATTTAAGATAAATTACCCCATGCATGTTTCTATTTGAGTGACTGTCTTATCAACTGATTCAAATGTTTTTGTAAGGACACTCTATTAAGAGCATCTACATCCGGAAATTATGAGCAGCTTTTCTATATCAGTAGCAGTATATCTTGTGTAGGGTAGTGTGTAAATAACATCATTCATTCATTCCTTAAATATACAGTCACCAGTGATAATTTTGCCTGATTCTGATTTACAACAGAAAGCCCAACACACAACATCATGAAGCCTCTAATCTAATGGGCAGTTTTTATTGCTTAGTCTTTAATAGATTGTGGAGAAGATAAATGCAAGATAACTGATATTGGAAAAGAATCCTTAGAAAGGATATAATGGTGATTAGATTTTTGGCTCAGTTAAGTGGTCAAAACCTGAGAACGGAGAGTAATGTATTATAGAATGTCATAATGCAGAATATTATGTGTTTATGGAATGTGGGAAAGTAATAAATGACAGAGTCAGGACATAAAGTAACTTGACAAGCTGGAGAAATAAGCCTAAATTTATATGATGACATTGAGCTGAGTGTAATGCAAGATTTCCCAGATCAAAAACAAGAAAGTAAATGAGCATTTAACAGAATAACTACACGTATATGGAGGAAGAGTAGCAATATTGTTTAAACAATTCTTGACAGCTATTGACTGTAAATTCAATGCCAGACAACTATGAATTATGTTATTAATGTGACTCATCCTAAGTCATGATGCCAAGAAGTCATCTTGGTCTTGGTTACGATGATAGACATGTAGCATTCAGACTGTGATAGGAGCACAGAACAAGGAAAGGGATGCATTCTGCCTGTCCTTTAATTAGGTCTAAGTTTGTTCAGTGCGTAACACCATACTTTGAGAGATATTGACAAAGTGGAGGATGTTCAGAACCAGAGACAGAACTGTGACAGGAACTGACAAGGTATGTGAAGCCTCCTTAAAGGAACAGTGGATATTGAGTCTGTAGAAGAGAAGGCTCAGGAGGAATTTGAGGGATCATCTTAAAGACCAAGAGCTTTGGTCCTGTGTGAGAGTCTTTTGATTTGGTCCTTGTGGCTCCACAGTTTCCAACTGACTTTGAGGTTTTTTTAGACCTCAGAGCTTGGGGTCCTAGGCTCCCACTATAACAGAAAGGCCTGAATAAGGGCCTGGACCAGTCCTGGGAACGTAGTATTTGCTGTCGCTTTCTTTGCCACCACACAGTGCGGTTGAGTGGGCTCCTCCTCCATTGCTACAGTGTGGCCTGGAGAGCCCCCTCCCCCCCCCCCCCCCCCCCCCCCCCCCCCGCTACCAACAGCTTTCAGTTGATTCTGGATGTGCCTGCTGGGTTCCTGGTCACTTCTCAGAGGTGTGGTATAGTTTGTGTCTTCTTTTTGCAGCAACCCTCCTGCAGGGAGGCAGATCCTAGGTCCCCACCACTCCCAGCAAACTCAACTTTCACCCAGCATGCGTGTCTCAGGAATTTCCCATGCTCACACTTGGCATCAGAGTCTTCCATTAGCCTTAAGGAGCCTGTCTACCTATGGACCCAGGTAGCTTAATTTGCATCAGTGGGCTTAAAAATTAATTAATCATTTATTAACTCTCTGGAGGTGGAATCGGGATCAGGTCTGTGGCTAATGCTTTATCACTGTTTTTTGTTTGTTTGTTTGTTTTGTTTTGTTTTGTTTTGTTTGTGTGTGTGTGTGTTTAAATACTGAATCTCATTCTTTATTTCCTTGTGTGTTGACGAAAATGCTCTTTTTGATCTAACCAGTCAAGCACCCTTGAGACCTGTTCTGGACAAGGCCTCATCCGTGGCCTATAAAGATGGGAACAAGCACTAACACAGTCCTAACAGTTCACAGCTGCATCCTGGTGGGTGAGGATTCTGGCTTCGCTTAAAGTATTTGCCTGAGAAAACTCAAGGCTGCTAAAACCATTTCCTATTTGTTCCCGAGAACACCTGAAGGTAGGGCCCCTGTCTCTCAGGCTCTGAGATGCTGGAGCTTCACTTGGATAAGCACCAGCAAACTCAGTGGATTGCACATAAACCAACTCCTGCTTTCCGATTTCCTGGAAAATGTTCACTTCCCTGCCTCTGCTCGCATCTCAGACTTTCCCACTTCCTAGCCCTCCTTTTCCTTGTAAAACAACCAATCGCTTCAGATTGAAGTTGATTTCAGTTTACCCTATTGCAACAGGTTAGGGGTGGGTAAAAGTAGGTTAATTATAATAAGAAATAGTACAATAACAAATGAATAAATGATAATAGAAGAACAAACTCTGTTTTGAGTACTAACAACTGTAAATCTACTTTTGTCCACCCTGTTTTTGTTTGTTTGTTTGTTTATTTTGGTGATTAAAACATGCCCTTGCCATTTTAACTAGTGCCTGGCTTTGTTTATCTTCCACAGTGTGTGAACAGTGAACATGGTATCTGGGGACTGAAGCCACAACCTAGGTCAGTGTCATGACTGGGACTTGAACCTATGACCTCCCTATGCATAGTACAATGCTCCAACCACACTGGCCAGGGACCTCTATAGACCATGTAGGGGCAGGTAAATGCACCACCTAGAGGCTGGTTTGGGGCTGAGATAAATACAGATTGCGAACCTATTTGCATTATAAGCCAGACACCATGTTATCCTTTGGGTTTATGTGTTTCTAATATTCTGTATTCCAGTTTTCAGTACAGTTGGATAAAAATATTTCATTTTCTTATTATGTTTACAAGATATTCTGCATCCATAGTGGTACAAAAAGAGCAGTGCTATTTCTCCCACTGATTGCAATAATATATATTTTTTATAAATACTTGTTAAAAATAGAGACACATCCCCTCTAGTTAGGACCTCATTGAACATTTTAATTGATTAATACATTTAATGCACATAACATAACAATAGCAAAAAGGGGACTTTTTACAAATAAAATTTGGAATCATTAATGCCAAAACGTAGAAAGGAAGATCATCATAGCACAAGATGTAACCATAGCAGCAACAGACATTTTACTCCCATATATATATTTTCAATCCAACACAGTGGTTATTTTATGTTTAAGTTACAGGATATAAAACTTCTCTGCAGCTTAATATATTTTACCATACAATACATAAAACATAACTTTAGGTTCTCAAGAAGAGTGGCAATGGATGACATGCACAGAAATAACTTCAGTGGCCAAAAAAATATAAGTGCAGCCCAGGTAAGAATGGGCTACCTCATTTTACTCATCTTGGCCAGTAGTTGTTTTGCTTGACATTGGAACCCTGTGGACTAGTCATTTGCTGCACAAACTGCAGAAAGGATATGTACAAACAGAGGTAGCTAGCCTATTTTTATCCTTTTTCTTTTCTGATAAATAAACTATCAGTCTTGTGGCACTAAAGATATACCTTTGGTATTTTGCTACTTCAAACGTATGACAATAAAGACATTTAGAAAATCAAGTCTAACATCTGTATCATTATATGAATTTGAACCTTATATGTGAAGTCTGTTCTTAAGAGATCAAATAAAGAGAAGTGCTTATTGTAGTCTTACAATTAGAATTGAAAGGTAAAAGGATTTTTAAAATGCCCAAGGGGGGAGGTAAGTGAACCAAAACTAAATGATGACCATTTGTGGAAAGAAAGAAAGGAAGGAA